ATATGATCGGAGAGATGGAAGACGACGCTATGACGATCGTGAAGGTAACGACTTTAAATTAAAAGTCGATATCTCTTATTTTAATGGTAGTCTGGGCATAGAAGAATTTCTGGATTGGCTTGCTGATATAGATAGATTTTTAGACTATATGGAGACCCCTGGTGAGAAAAGGGTGCGATTAGTAGCCTGTAGATTAAAGGGCGGTGCGTCTGCATGGTGGGAGAGATTACAGAATAGGAGAGAACGAGAAGGGAAAGAGAGAGTTCAAACTTGGACTAGGATGAGGAGGCTGCTGAAGCAAGAATTCCTTCCACCCGACTATGAGCAGATTATGTTTCAGCAATACCAACGTTGCCATCAGGGCAATCGGACTGTGCATGAGTATACGGCCGAATTTATGAGATTGACGGAGCGGAATAATTTATCAGAGACGGAGGGACAGCAGGTGGCTAGATATCTTGATGGTTTGAAACCCTTCATTCGAGATAAAATTGGAGTGCAGTTTCTGCGAAATTTAACTGAAGCCAAGAATATGGCGATGAAGGCAGAATTGATGCAGCAAGATAGGGGATGAAGAGGCTACGAAAATTATCGAGGTAGCAGCTCGAGCAGTTCAGTAGAAAAGAGCAGTTTCAATAATCGCTTTAACGCAGGGTGAAATCAGGAAGATAAGGCGGTAGAAAAGTGCCCTATGAACGAGCCGAGGGATAAGGGAACGCAAGCACAGAAAACTGTGAACCCTAACCCTTATACTAAACCAGCCGCGATAAAGTGTTACAGGTGTAATCAGCCCGGGCACCGTTCTAATGAATGCCCTCAGAGAAAGACCATAAACGTAGCAGCGAGAGAAGAGGAGGAAGATGGATATTGCTGTGCACCGGATGGTGAGGACGATGATTTTGAAGATGAAGAAGAGGAGCAAGTAAACTGTGTGGTGCGTAGAATGATGTTGGCCCCAAAACAAGAAGATGATTCGCAGCGCCATCAGTTATTCCGAACCAGGTGCACCATTCTGGGAAAGATCTTTGCTGTGGTTATTGATAGTGGAAGTATGGAGAATATCATTGGGAAGGAGGCAGTGAAGAAGCTGGGGATACCCGTGGAGAAGCATCCTAATCCCTATACGTTATGATGGATTAAATCTGAAGCGGAAAGCATTCGGATAACTGAGCCATGTAAAATTCCATTCTCCATCGGTAAATATCATGATGAGCTGTATTGTGATGTAGTAGACATGGATGTATGTCATGTGTTATTTGGGAGACCGTGGCAATTTGACGTAGATGCTCAGCATTCGGGAAGAAGCAATCAGTATAACCTCGTGAAGGATGGAGTGAAGTATACGTTGCTGCCACTGAAGAACAAAGGAAAACAAGCTGCTGAAAATAATTTCCTTACCCTTACGAGGAAATTTGAAGCTGAGGTTAAGGAGACCCGACAGATTCACGTGCTGGTCGTGAAACAAGCAATTGAGACTGAGGCTGAATTACAAGTGGAGGAGCAGCCCGAATCAATTAAACCTTTAATGAAGGAATTTAGCGAACTGATGCCTGAAGAGATTCTAGATAAGTTGCCGCCTATGCGCGATATTCAGCACCATATAGACTTAATTCCTGGTGCTAGTCTACCAAATTTACCGCACTACAGGATGAGTCCAAAAGAGAGCGAGATTCTAAAAGAGAAGGTGGAGGAGTTGTTGCGAAAGGGACACATTCAGAATAGCATGAGCCCATGTGCTGTTCCGGCCTTGTTGACTCCTAAGAAAGATGGGAGTTGGCGGATGTGTGTAGATAGCAGGGCTATTAATAAAATAACCGTGAGTTACACGGTGCTAAGTGGTTTTCGAAGCTGGATTTGAAGAATGGATACCATCAGATTCGGATTCGGCTCGGAGATGAGTGGAAGACAGCTTTCAAAACAAAGGAGGGGTTGTACGAATGGTTGGTGATGCCTTTTGGACTTTCCAATGCTCCAAGCACTTTCATGAGGCTTATGAATCAGGTTCTGAAATCTTTTATTGGCAAATTTGTTGTAGTTTATTTTGATGATATCCTGATTTATAGTAAGACCGAGGAGGATCATCGATGCATTTAAGGGAGGTGTTGAGCCTTACATTAATAAGTCTGTATATTAATCTTAAGAAGTGCAGTTTTTTAACTAATAAGCTGTTATTCTTGGGGTTTATTATTACTGCTGAAGGAATAGAGGTAGATGAGGCGAAGGTAAGAGCAATCAGAGAGTGGCCGACTCCTAAAACAGTTTCTGACGTTATGAGTTTTCATGGGTTAGCTACTTTCTATCGGCGATTTATTAAGAATTTCAGTACTATCATAGCCCCAATTACTGAATGTATGAAGAAAGGCAAATTTCTATGGGGAGAGGAAGCTGAGAATAGTTTTGCTATTTTGAAGGAGAAGTTATGTACTGCACCTGTTCTTGCTTTACCTGATTTTGATAAACTGTTTGAAGTGGACTGTGATGCTAGTGGAGTGGGTATAGGAGCTGTTTTATCTCAAGAGTGCAGACCAGTTTGCTATTTTAGTGAGAAGCTCAGTGACGTAAGGCAGAAGTGGAGCACTTATGATAAAGAATTCTATTCTGTCGTAAGGGCTTTGAAAACCTGGGAGCATTATCTGATTGGGAAAGAATTCGTCCTTTATTCTAATCATGAAGTTTTGAAGTATCTGAATAGTTAGAAGAGGATTAGCAAAGATATGCATGCGCGATAGTGTCAATTCTTGTAAAAATTTCCTTTCAGATTACAGCACAAGTCAGGTGTGCATAATATCGTAGCAGATGCATTGAGTAGGAGAGCTGGCTTGTTGATTACATTAAGCCAAGACATCTTAGGGTTGAGCAGTTGAAAGACTGTTATGCAGATGATGATGACTTTGGAAAAATTTGGGAGTCATGTGCTGCTGGTCAACCTGTACAAGAATTTTATGTGCAGGATGGCTATTTGATGTGTAGCAACCAGCTTTGCCTTCCTCGAACATCATTACGAGAGAAGGTAAGTCGCGATTTACATGATGGTGGATTAGCTGCACATCTAGGTCGTGATAAAACTGTTGCTGCAGTCCGGGAGCGATTTTACTGGCCCCAGTTGCGTAGAGATGTCAGTAGGTACGTACAAAAGTGTTATGTTTGCCAGACTGCTAAGGGTCAATCTAAGAATACAGGTCTGTATATGCCTTTACCTGTTCCTAACAATATATGGGAAGATCTATTCATGGATTTTGTGCTTGGTTTACCACGGACACAAAGAGGCGTGTATTCTGTTTTCGTTGTGGTTGACAGATTTTCCAAGATGGCGCACTTCATTCCTTGTAGGAAAACTTCTGATGCAGTAAGTGTGGCCAGATTATTCTTTAAGGAAGTGGTTCGTTTGCATGGTGTGCCCAAGTCTATTACCTCAGATAGGGATAGTAAATTTCTAGGGCATTTTTGGCGGACTTTATGGAAACTGTTTGATTCATCTTTGAATTTCAGTAGCACAGCTCACCCGCGGACTGATGGGCAAACAGAGGTGGTTAATAGAACTCTGGGAAACTTGATTCGAAGCATTTGTGGAGATACGCTAAAGCAATGGGATGTTGCTTTATCACAAGCAGAGTTTGCTTATAATAATGCGGTTCATAGTTCTATTGGCAGGTCGCCTTTTTCTGTTGTTTATACAAAGGCGCCTCAGCATACTCTGGATTTGGTACAGTTGCCTAAGCAAGCGGATAAAAGTGTAACAGCGGATCATATGGCTAAACAGATTGTGGAGGTGCATCGTGAAGTCAAACAGAAGCTGGAGGAAGCTAATCAAAAGTATAAAGCTGCAGCAGTTAAGCACCGGCGGAAGCAGGTGTTTGCGGTAGGTGATCAAGTCATAATTTTTCTTCGTAAAGAGCGATTACCAGCTGGATCTTATAGTAAATTACAGCCAAAGAAGTATGGACCTTACGCTGTCAGCAAGAAAATCAACGATAATGCTTTTGTTATAGACCTTCCACATAGCATGGGCATATCCAACACTTTTAATGTTGCTGATTTGTCACCGTTTCATGAGTCCACAGAGCCGTTATATCCAGATCCTGATTTTAACTCGAGGACGAGTTCTTTTCAAGTGGAGGAGAATGATGCGGAATCTATTAGTGGTGCGTTTCTGGACCGATTGGACAGGCAGAAGTCCAAACTGAAGGCGAAACAGTGATGTGACTAAAACCGGTGGACCCGATCGACGACATCGAATATTTTTTATGAGTTAATTTAAAAAGGCAGTTTTCTAATTTTGATGTTTTACGCTTTCCAATTTAGATTAGGTAACTTTCCTATTATGATTAGGTTTCCAATTCAGATTAGGTAACTTTCCTATTATGATTAGGTTTCCAATTTAGATTAGGTAACTTTCCTATTATGATTAAGTTTCCTATTGTAATTAGGTTTAACCCCTACAAAAGGGTGTTTAGGGTTGTTTTGAAGACAGAACATTCTTCTCATCAATATTGAATTTCGAGATTTTTCTCTCTAAGCAAGGTTTTGCTTGAATTATTCGCGGAACGCTGCGTCAACTCAACTCCATACCCTGCTTGCTCTGATGTTGTGGTGGTCATTCAAGAAAAATTACCGGTTTTGCTGTAAACAATGCATGATGTACAGATTATGCATTGGAATGGAATGCTTCAAGATGAGCTGATTTTCATATTGCATTTGCTTGGGGTTTTTACTGTCATTGAGGGAACCTAAAGTAGATCCACTTATGGTAGTTTGGCTTTTGAAGATGATTTATTCTTGTGGTAGAGTTTGGAACTTCTGATATTACTACAAACAAAAACACCGAACGCCATAAAGTTGGATACTGACTTCATTTCAACAATAAAATTCCAAAAAACAAATGCGACACTGTACATTTGACAAAAAATAAAATGAACGCACACCAACATTAACATGATGATCTATCCGTGCACATCCTACAACCTGAAATTGTCCTAAAGTTAAAACAGAACATTCAACAGAGCAATGAATCTGCAAAGTTGATCACCTTCCTTCAACAAAAGAATTAGTGATTATGTTCTTGGACCAACTACTTTTGTAGCCCGACTGAATCTTATGATCAAATAACTTTTGGAAGGTAAATGTCGGCTCTTTTGGTTGCAGAAGCTTCATTTCACCGGTCAGCATCAGAGCTATAGTCGACATGTTTGGTCTGTCCACCGCATGATCCTGGACACACAGAAGCCCAATCTGAATGCACTTCATTACTTCTGATGGAGAAGAAGAATCCGCAATTGTTTCATCCAACAAATCAAAATCTCTTCCCTCAAGCCACAGTTGCCACGCCTGCAATAATCATGCTTTTTCCAAATGAACTAGAAAGTATGGGGAACTTGTTATAACACATCCTCTAGATCATGATTATATTGCGCAGATGAAATTTTGGGAAATATACTAATATGCCTTCAAGAGCCAAGATTGAGAAACAGTAAGGTGTAGTCCTTAAATTGTCAACATTTAAATAGATCAATTAGCAAGGTGTAAGGAAGACTGTAATATAGATTTTAAACGCAAATGTGGTCTTAGTCCGACCCAAGAATAACAATTAAATTCACTATATATTGTCACTTACATATGATAGAAGATTGGGATCTTCTCCATCGTAAGACCAGCTTGTATTCTTCTTGCCACTGACAATTTCTAGTACAAGTACTCCAAAGCTATAGACATCAGATTTCTCTGAAAATATCCCACCCATTGCATACTCTGGAGATATATAGCCACTTCCATAAAATGCATGATGAAAATAATTAATGAGTTTTACCGAAAAAGGCATATCATACCTCTCATTAAATGACATAAAGTAGAGATACGCAAGCTGATGAAAGTTGACAAATTTTTCTACTGTTCTTGTCTGAATTATGAAAATTTTATGGGTGGATCAATAAATCTTGTAATTCAAGTGCTTACAGTGTTCCCACAACCCTGTGAGTGTTAGCCAAATCCTGTGTGCCTTGAAACATCCGTGCAAGGCCAAAATCAGAAATTTTTGGATTTAACTTCTCATCGAGGAGGATGTTGCTGACTTTCAAGTCTCGGTGGATAACCCGTAGGCATGAATCCCTGTGGAGATAGAGAAGTCCTCTAGCAACCTCCTGGGTGATGCGGAAGCGTTTGTCCCAGCTGAGTTCGGCCTTCCTTTTCCAATCTAACCAAAGACACCATAGAAAATATCTTTTAGAAATGATACAATACTGGTAAGATGTATTATAGAAACATAACTTGTTTCTCTAGACTTGGTCTAAGTCTCACCATGCCCTACACTTCTTTATATGAAGGAAAAGAAGGTGAAATAAACAAGTATATAAGGGGTTCCTTTCAGAGAGTGGAAACCAACCAAAGAGAAAGGTGTCCAAGCTTTTGTTTGGCAAGTATTCGTAAACTAATATTTTCTCTTCTTGTTCAACGCAGCATCCAATGAGCCGTATGAGATTTCGGTGTTGAAGCTTCGATATTAGACTTATCTCATTCTCGAATTCCTCCATTCCTTGGCTCGAACTGCTAGAAAGCCTTTTCACAGCCACCTCTTTCCCATCTGTCAGCTTTCCCTGTATTTTCCAAAGTCTAGATAGGATCATTCCTTTCATTAGGTAGGCAGATTAGCATGTAAGGGATGTTTTGGAGTAAACTGTGTTGAGGAAAACTCCTATTGATTTTGAAATTGACAAAACCTTCTATGTTATTGTAAATATGATACTTATTCTGAGCTAATTTATTCCAGGTCTGTATATTCTGGAAGTTCAGAAGAAAGTTATTCAGACTGTCAAGTATGTTTTTTAAGACCCACATAATCTAGGTTCTGATATTCAGACGCAGAAGTTATTAAGATGCAGATGCAGAAGCAGAAGTTATTCAGATGCAGATGCAGACGAAAAAATTAATCAGACGCAGAAATTCTTCAGACGCAGACGCAGAAGTTCTTCAAATGCAGACGCAGAATTTCTTTAGACGCAGAATTCAGAACATATCACAATAGCTAGTGATCTGGCATGGATTTCACAGAAGGAATGTTCCGATTGTCTCAATCTAAATCAAATTGATTGACAATCAAACATCACGATAAGAATGCATTACAACGGACAAAGCTCTACTTATGGAAACCAAGATTCTGATTGTATGGGCGACCAGAATCAGCAGGATTCAAAATCTGTCATCCAACGGCTACTCAATCCTTTCTATACAAATCTGTCCAAGGTGAAGATTGGAAGATGATCCTCTGAAAGCTGTCCAACGGCTAGTTTGGAAGTAGAGGAGTATTTAAGGAGGTCAACGAGCAGCAGAAGGAACACAGAATCAAGAATCAACAAGTCCAAAGTCTGAGCATACTCCAATCATTTCTCTTGTCGTTCTGAGCAAAACATTAAGATCTTGAGGGACACTTTGTAAGAGTGATTGTGTGAGATAGAGAGTCCTATCATACACAAGAGTGTTAACACTCAGAAGTTGTAATTCCTCTTGATTACATAGTGAAATCCAGCCGGTAGGCTGTAAGCGTGGGAGAGTGGACGTAGGCTTGCTATAAGCCGAACCACTATAAACTTGTGTGCAGATTCTCTATCTCTTATCTCTTATCTCTTGCTTTACATTCTGCACATCAAGAGTACCGTCTTTATAATCTGTCTTGAATCTGAATTTTATTCAGACTCTACTGTGATTTATTTTGTTTCCGCATAAATTATCAAAAATTGTTTAAGATCACCTATTCACCCCCCTCTAGGTGATCCTTGCTAGCTACATCAATTGGTATCAGAGCAGGTAGCTTATTTATTGAAGTGTCTTACTTCTGAGCTAACGATCTATATGGCTAGCTATGGTGCTCCAGGGCTCATTGAAGGACAGAGCAACAACAGACCACCATATTTCGATGGCAAGGAATATAGTGTCTGGAAGAATAAGATGAAGGCATTCATAAAGTCAATTGATCACATGCAATGGGATGTCATCATCAGAGAAGTCAATCCAAGATCTTCTGATTTAAAAGAAAAGGCAGAAGCAAGCATAGCAACAGATCCTCCATTATCTCAAACTGAGATATCCAAAAGAGAAACCTTAGATTCCAAAGCAATTTATTCTCTCTATTGTGCTTTATCTCCTATTGAATATAAAAAAATTGCTGCTTGTGAATCAGCTAAGGAAATCTGGGATACTCTCCTTGTCACTTATGAAGGAACAGATCGAGCCAAGGAAACTCAAATCAATCTTTTGCTTGGTCAATATGAATCCTTCAAAATGAAGCCTGGAGAATCAATTGCTGATTTGTATGACAGGTTTACTGATATAGTAAACGGTCTTGCTTATCAAGGACAACCAGTTCCAGATGCAATGAAAGTCAACAAACTGTTGAGAGGACTGACAAATCAGTGAGATAATATCAAAACATCTCTTCGAGAGACACAAAGGATCAAGCCTCTATCAGTGAATGAGTTAATTGGAACTCTTCAATCATATGAGACTGAGAAACGGAATGAGGAGATTGAATCCAAAGGTAATAAATCAATTGCTTTGAAGACTAACATTGATTCTGATGCAGATTCTGAAGATGAAGACGTTGATGATGAAGAACTAGCTCTCTTTATAAAGAAGTATAAGAAAATGAAGATCAAAGGAAGAAACCTCAGAGGTAAGAAGCCTTTTGAGAAGAAGAAGTCTTTCGATGAAACCGAGAGATCGAAGGATGTTATATGCTTTCACTGTAAGAAACGTGGACATATCAAGCCAAATTGTCCACTTCTGAAAAAGAAGACCAAGTTTGAGAAAGCAAAGAAGGCCTTAAAAGCAGAAACCTGGAGTGACACAGAGTGTGAAGACAGTGATGAAGATATCTCAAATTTCTGTCTAATGGCTAAGTCAGACTCAGACTCAGATTCAGATTCTGATCCCAAAGTGGAGATTGAGGTAAAACATTCTGACATGCCTATTGAAGTATCAAATTACATTGATGAATTATGCTTTGAATTCAAGACTGCTCTTAAATGCATCTCTTCTTTGAAAAAGGAAAATTCATCACTGAGGCAACAGGATGTTTCACAAAAAGAAAAAATCGATTTCCTTCAAAAAGAATTTCATCAAGTCAAGGAAAGTCGAGATTTTCTTTCCAAAGAAAATGTGGTTTCGAAAAAGCAAGTTTCAGAAATTACTTCCAAGTTTTCAAAGGGTTCAGAAACCTTGAAGCATATCCTTTCTATCCAAATTCCTTACTACAACAAATCTGGTCTCGGATTTGTGAAGGAAAGTGATAGCTTGATTGATTTTCCAAAGGTCAAGGAGAGATTAAAACAAAGACCTCCTCGACAAGCTTATAAAACCACTTCAAAAGGAATTTTGTAAAACCTGTTGGCCGAAGTGCACTCAGGTGCTCAAAATGTGGAGATCCACAACATTTTGAGAATGAATGCCCTAAGGTCTGGAGGCCTGTTAGAAGAGATTTTGTTAAGACAGCTTATACTAATACTCAAGGACCCAAACAAATTTGGGTACCAAAGAAAACTTGAGATGTTGTGATTTTTGCAGGTTACCACAAAGAGAAAAAGGAAGTGGTACCTAGATAGTGGATGCTCTAGACATATGACAGGAAATCCAAGTATATTCGTTGATCTTCACAATCTGAATGGTGAAAAAGTTTCCTTTGGAGGAAATACCAAAGGAAAAATCGTTGGCAAAGGAACAGTTGAAATTGGAGGACTTACAATCAATGATGTTTCTTTGGTGAAAGGACTCAACTACAATCTGATAAGCATAAGCCAACTATGTGATACAGGTTTCAGAATCAACTTTCAAGAAGATACATGCTCAGGGACAAGCAAAAATTCTTCTCAAACATTTACAGGAAGAAGACATGGCAATATCTATATTCTAGATGTCAATCCAAACTCCACTCATTGCTTGATCTCAATCAAAGAGGATGAAGATCTATGGCATAGAAGATTGGGGCATATCAGTATGAAACAAATCTCAAAGATCTCAAACAAGAAACTGGTTCGAGGTCTACCAGATTTGAAATACAAGAAAACAGAGTTATGCAATGCCTGCACTCTAGGAAAACAAGTAAGAAGTTCTTTCAAGTCTATTCATCATGTTTCCACTGATCGTGCCCTGCAGCTTCTTCATATGGATCTATTTGGACCAACAAGAACACAGAGTATTGGTGGTAAGAAATATTGTTTAGTCATTGTTGATGACTTCACAAGATTTACTTGGGTGTTCTTCCTTGCTCATAAAAATGAAGCATTTTCATATTTTTCAAAATTTGCAAAAAGAGTTCAGAATGAAAAGGGCTATTCCATTTCCAGCATTAAAACTGATCATGGGGGACAATTTGAAAATCAAAGTTTTTCAGATTTTTGTGAGGAAAATGGCTTTCAACACAATTTTTCTACTCCTTATACACCAGAACAAAATGGTGTTGTGGAGAGGAAAAATCGTTCTTTGCAAGAAATGGCAAGAACTCTGTTGATTGAAAGCAAAATTCCGTTTCTTTTCTGGGCAGATCTAGTTTTTACAGCATGTTATATCATTAACAGAGCTTTTCTCAGACCCATTCTTGAGAAAACTCCCTATGAGCTTTACAAAGGTAGAAAGCCCAACATTTCATATTTTCGTGTATTTGGTTGTAAATGCTATATTCTGAAAAATCCAAATGATCGCACTGGTAAGTTTGATGAGAAAGCAGATGAAGGATTTTTCCTTGGATATTCTACTTCAAGTAAAGCATACAGAGTCTTCAACAAGAACTCTCAGACTGTTGAAGAATCTATGAATGTAAGGTTTGAAGAAAACATTCAGACTCACAGAGATGAATCTGAACCTTCTCCCAACATTCAAGAATTATTAGAAGATCATCAACAATCAGTATCAGAAGGAAAAGAAGGAAAAGAAGATACAATATAGACTCAACCAGAAAGTTCAGAGTCTGCAGATTTTCAGAAGGAAAGATTTGACAAAAACTGGAAACATAAATCCAGTCATCCGAAGAACCTCATCATTGGAGAAATTGAAGATGGCATCAAGACAAGATCCAAACACAAAGAGAACATCAGCAACTTGGCGTTAATATCAGAGATAGAACCAAAAGAAGTTGGTGAAGTTTTAACAGATGAAAGCTGGATCAATGCTATGCAGGAGGAACTTCAGTTCAGAATCAATAAAGTTTGGGAGCTTGTGGCAAGACCCAAAAATTATCCAGTCATTGGAACAAAATGGGTATTCAGAAATAAACTGGATGACAAAGGGAAAGTTACAAGAAACAAAGCAAGACTGATTGCAAAAGGCTATTCTCAAGAAGAAGGCATAGATTATGATGAAACATATGCACCGGTTGCAAGGTTAGAAGCCATTCGGCTACTATTAGCTTATGCTTGTTTCCATAACTTTAAATTGTTTCAGATGGACGTGAAAAGTGCTTTTCTGAATGGATATATCAAAGAAGAAGTATATGTGGAACAACCACCTGGTTTCGAAGAACCTAGAAAGACTGATTATGTTTACAGACTCAAGAAGGCTCTTTACGGTCTGAAACAAGCACCCAGAGCTTGGTACGAAAGGTTAAGTAACTTCCTTCTGCAAAATGGTTTTACCAAAGGTAAGGTTGATACAACTTTATTTGTTAAGAAAAAGAGTAAGGATTTCCTACTTGTTCAAATTTATGTTGATGATATAATCTTTGGATCCTCTAACGAACTGCTATGCAAGGAATTCTCAAAGAATATGCAGAACGAGTTCGAGATGAGTATGATGGGAGAATTATCATTCTTTCTTGGCCTTCAAGTGAAACAAACCAAAGATGGTACATTCATTTGCCAAGAGAAGTATGCAAAGGAGATTATCAAGAAGTTTGGATTACAGAATTGCAAGAAGACAGACATTCCCATGTCTCATTCATCCAAACTGGACAAAGATGAAAATGGTAAAAAGGTTGATCAGAAGGTATATAGAAGCATGATAGGTTCATTATTGTATCTAACTGCATCTCGACCTGACATTCTTTTTAGTGTCTGTATGTGTGCGAGATTTCAATAAGACCCAAGAGAATCTCATTTTTCTGCAGTAAAGAGAATAATCAAATACATTGGAACATATCCAATGTTAGGTCTTTGGTATTCCAAAGATTCAGATTTTACTCTTACTGGATATTCTGATGCTGATTTAGTTGGATGTAAAGTGGACAGGAAAAGTACTTCAGGTACATGTCAACTGCTTGGGAATATGTTGGTATCCTGGTACTCAAAGAAGCAGAACACAGTTGCACTTTCTACAGCAGAAACAGAATATGTAGCATTGGGAAGTTGCTGTGCACAGATTCTGTGGATGAAGCAGCAATTACAAGACTTTGATATTGAAGAATCAAGTGTTGCAATCAAATGTGACAACACAAGTGCAATCAAGTTGACAAAGAACCCAATTCTTCATTCTCGAGCTAAGCATATTGAAATCAAGCATCACTTTATTCGAGATCATGTTCAAAATGGTGATGTAAATATTCAATTTATTGATTCTAAGAATCAATTAGCTGATATATTTACAAAACCTCTTGATAAATCCTCATTTGAATTCATAAGAGACAAAATGTGCATCATTTATCCATTTTCTTGAAGTGTTTGATAGACAGGAATTTTTCAGACTCAAGTATTCTCAGTCTGAACATTTTTCAGACTCACAAAGAAAGGTACGTTCCTTATTCAAATTTTGGCGGGTATATTTTTGGCATGTTTGGCAGGATATTTTTATAATCGTTACTTTTGGAAGCAAATCAGGTATGTATTCTAATTTATCTGATAAATTGTGCTTAATATATTGTTATGATATCATCCTGTTTGGTTAAGCTTCAAAGAGTATATTTTCCTCCTACTTGCTTGGGATATCTTTTTATTTTCTAAAAGTAACTTTTCCTTCCAAAAATTATCCACCTCTTTTTTAAACCCGTCCTTCTCTTTTCAAAACCCTATCAGTACGATCTTTCTCTCCCAAAACCCTTCCGATATTCAGAGACTCTCCTCTTCTTCATCCAAAGATCGAAACTTTCGTCTCCAAAGGTGATCATAATGCCGGTCAAGATGGTGGTCCATAGAAGATCTTCTCGTATTCTTAATCAAGACTCAAAATCTACCGCACCGCCGGAATATTTAGAAGTTTCAGACTCAGAATCCGATCATCCTGCAGACCCTTCTTAAGCGTCAACACCTCAGCGATCGTCTCCTCCAAAATCGTCTGGTAAAACTGATTTTCGGTTCAGAAGCATTAAACATGTGTGGGAACATTATCAAAGGTTGAAAAGGTTCAATGCCTCTGAGTCGGCTCTTCGTGCTTGTCTGAAAGACAACAATCTTCGCTCTGAAACTCACCTTGTGCAAATCTATTCTGACTACTGCACTAAATCTGGACAAGTTCCAACCCGTTCTACCCCACAAGAGACTTCCTCACGAAAGGGCAAAGAAAAAGTTGGAGAAGCTTCAACTCCTTCTGAAAAGAAATCGGTTCATGTAAGCCCTAAATCTACTAGTGCTTCAAAATTTGTTGTTCCTGATGATGATGCACGATTTTTTGAGACTTTTGAGATAAAGGTGGGAATAGCATCTGGTTTGCCTGAAACAGGAGGCTTGTTCAGAAGCACTGCGCATCAAATGTACTACAAGTTGTTACTTGCTAGAGGAGTAATGAACAATCGAATTGTGGATTTTGAATACCTGGAGAAGGCTGGCATTTCTGTATAGCACCTGTTTGAGAAGTTAGGGATTTATGAATTTTGCCTTCAATCTGCCAATACTTATGCTGAATTAACTGCCTACTTCTATTCCAATCTTTCAATTCTGTCACCAAATTGGATACAGTTTACTGTTGGTGACAAGAAGGTTGATTTAAAGGCGCATGAGTTGGCAAGGATAATTGGAGCCACACACTCCACTTTTACTCCATTGGCAGTAAATCTTGAAGAGGCTTCTCAGGTAGCTTCTGAAAATCCGAATTTTGCTCACGAATCAAAGCGACATCTCTCCTATTCTGACTTATCCAGACGATCCGTGATCTTGCATAAGATCATAATAAATTGTTTGAAGCCAAAGGATGCCTCAAAAACTGACCTATCAAAATCAGAGATCAAGCTCATTTGGGCTATCTTGACAGGTCAATCCTTTTCTCTCCCTCACCTCATCATATTCCATATGTACAGAGCATTACAGAAGAATAAGGGTCATTTGCCATATGGAGCTTTAATCTCTCGAATCTTCATGTTTCTCAATCTACCTATTCCTGGTGAGTTGCAAGAAACTATGCTTCCTCGTATGTTTGTTGGAGAACGAATGCTCTCCAAAATGAAGAAATTTGAAGATATAAGGGAAAGAGTAAAAGGAAAAGAGGCTGAAAAGTCAGAGGCAAAATCTGTTGGCAAGAAAGTTCAGAAAGCAAAGGAGCAAAGGAAAAGAACAGGTTCAGCCAGCAAGCAGCCTGATTCTCCTACCCCAATAAAAGTGTACAGCAAAAAGCGTAAAATTCTTCTGCAAGATGAAAATGATGAAGCAGAAGCTGAACACTTTGAAACAGGAGGCTCAGAACATGTTCCTAAACCAGATCCCAAGGTTTCAGAATCAATTCATGTAGAACATATTTCTGAAGATCCATCACCTGTTCAGGGGGAGATTCCAGAATCAGCCACAGGGTACAATCAGTCTGAGGAAGCTAATGTCCAAAGTCAGCCATCCGAAAATCAGAACATCCTTTTTATTCTGCTTGAGATTAAAGACAAGCAAGCTGCTCTAGAACAACATATGCAGAATCTACAGAATATTGTTGAGGAAAACACCAAGGCTCAACAACTTCAGACAGCAGCAGATAAAGCAGCATTAGAGGAAGCCATTACTATGTGCTCATCCAACATGGATAAGGCCATCAGTCAATGCAGTTCGAAGATTGAGGAGGCTGTCTCAATATTGGAAAATTTTCAATTGATTCGTACTCCTAAAAAATAGCCTGTTTTTCAACTTTTTTCTCCATTTCTTTTCAATTGGTCTGTAATATATCTCATACTTTTTGTTAGACTGGTTGATTACTTAATCTCAGTGCATTATTCTGTCTATTATTATTCTTTTTGTTGATGACAAAAAGGGGGAGAAATTATGTGCAGATTTGCAGGTTATATTCAAAAGGAAAGAAAGACACAGATATCAACAGAGTTTGCTCTTTCAATCTGTGTTTAATGAGCTTAATATGTTTATTCATTTTCAAAATAATTCAAAATGCAAGAAGTTTTGTCACCATCAAAAAGGGGGAGATTGTTGAGGAAAACTCCTATTGATTTTGAAGTTGACAAAACCTTCTATGTTATTGTAAATATGATACTTATTCTGAGCTAATTTATTCCAGGTCTGTATATTCTGGAAGTTCAGAAGAAAGTTATTCAGACTGTCAAGTATGTTTTTTAAGACCCACATAATCTAGGTTCTGATATTCAGACGCAGAAGTTATTCAGATGCAGATGCAGAAGCAGAAGTTATTCAGATGCAGATGCAGACGAAGAAATTAATCAGACGCAGAAATTCTTCAGACGCAGACGCAGAAGTTCTTCAGATGCAGACGCAGAATTTCTTCAGACGCAGAATTCAGAACGTATCACAACAGCTAGTGATCTGGCATGGATTTCACAGAAGGAATGTTCTGATTGTCTCAATCTAAATCAAATTGATTGACAATCAAACATCACGACAAGAATGCATTACAACGGACAAAGCTCTACTTATGGAAACCAAGATTCTGATTGTATGAGCGACCAGAATCAGCGGGATTCAGAATCTGTCATCCAACGGTTACTCAATCCTTTCTATACAAATCTGTCCAAGGTGAAGATTGGAAGATGATCCTCTGAAAGCTATCCAACGGCTAGTTTGGAAGTAGAGGAGTATTTAAGTAGGTCAACGAGCAGCAGAAGGAACACAGAATCAAGAATCAACAAGTCCAAAGTCTGAGCATACTCCAATCATTTCTCTTGTCGTTCTGAGCAAAACATTAAGATCTTGAGGGACACTTTGTAAGAGTGATTGTATGAGATAGAGAGTCCTATCATACACAAGAGTGTTAACACTCAGAAGTTGTAATTCCTCTTGATTACGTAGTGAAATCCAGCCGGTAGGCTGTAAGCGTAGGAGAGTGGACGTAGGCTTGCTATAAGCCGAACCACTATAAACTTGTGTGCAGATTCTCTATCTCTTATCTCTTGCTTTACATTCTGCACATCAAGAGCACCGTCTTTATAATCTGTCTTGAATCTGAATTTTATTCAGACTCTACTGTGATTTATTTTGTTTCCGCATAAATTATCAAAAATTGTTTAAGATCACCTATTCACCCCCCTCTAGGTGATCCTTGCTAGCTACATCAAACTGACCTTATAGACAGGTCCGAAGGCCCCTTGTCCCAGTTTGTTTGTGACGCTGAAGTTGTTTGTAGCACCTACAATGTCATCAAAATCAAATATTTGCATTTTGGAGGTGTCGTCTTGCTTCAGTTGCTCTTTTCATGCATTTACTTGGACCTGGTCACTAGGTTCCTAATTTGAATCTACATAAAGTAACCCCGCTGATCTGTTAAAATTTCCTGGGTGTTGAGAGGAATCCGAAATAAGTTACTGCGGTCACATAGTATGGCAGAGTAAATAGGTTTACATACTTCTCCATATTCTTCTCTGAACTCTTATCATAACGTGATTGTTTTTAATGCAGAACACAGAGCATTGCAAATACTGGACTAGGGAAATTATAAATAGACAAGTTTCTGTTGAAATTCTGAGAAATGATTGACATGATACTTGACAAACCCCAACATAAGAAGAATTGGATAGGTCATGATTAAGTCAACATTGGATTTGCCAAATAGTTCGAAGCACTAGAAAGTTCATAAATGCATCATTTGGAACATTCTTACCATTTTGGTTGTATTTCCATTTGCCGAGACAAACAGCTGCTGCACCTATTGATATGATGCCAAACACGACACTGACATAAAGCATGAGTTCCCTTGTAATCTTTGGTCCCCCTGAAACAATAATAAAAAGATCATTAGAAGAAAATGCTAGACATGCCATGCCAACTCAAACATCTAATTACAATCTTTTTGTGACGAATCACCTGCTTTGGCATCTGGTAAGCAAAGAAATAGATCTTCACCCGACATAGAGAACTCTTGAATATCTATCAGATCTCCACTCCAAACCAGACATCCTATTGTGCCCACATAAGAATAAGGTGCTGCATGAAAACCATTCTGGTTCTGTCCAGAACTGGTTTTTTGTTCCCAGAATCAGTTTTGGACCAGAAACCCGTTTAGTAACGCAATTTCATTTTTCTATTTCCGGGACAAGTTTGCTTCCAAAACTGATTCTGAAACCAGAAATGAGAACCAAAAAAAAGTTGATTTTTCATTTCTGGAACAAAAGTGAGAACCATTTCTGAGGAATTCATTTTCTTCAACACACATATTCATATGGAAGTCACGATCTTTGAGGTGAGAAAAAAAAGCAAAAAATCAAAAATTTAAAAACTTAACAGAATGGTTTAGAATCTGTGGCTACCCACTTTCAGTGAAATTTAAATTTTTTTAGGTACCGAAAAAAAAAATTAAAAATAAAATAAAAAATAAAAAAATTCGCAAAATGGCTTAGAAAACCTATGGCCACCCACTTTGAGCAAAATTTAATTTTTTTAGTTGCAAAAAAAAAATAAAAAATTCTAAAATTTAAAAACTTCACAGAATATCTTAGAATACTTGTGGCCACCCAATTTGAGCAAAATTTTATTTTTTTTAGGTGCCGAAAAAAATAAAAAAAGAGCAAAAAATAAAAAATTTCAAAACTTCAAAGAATGGCTTATAATACTTGTGGCCATCCACTTTGAGTGAAATTTAAATTTTTTTAGGTGCCGAAAAAAATAAAAAAAATAAAACATTTCAAAACTTCACAGAATAGCTTAAAATACATGTGGCCACCCACTCGAGTGAAATTTAAATTTTTTTATATGCCAACAAAAATAAAAATAAGCAAAAAAGTAAAAATTTCAAAACTTTACAGAATGACTTAAAATACCTGTGGCCACCCACTTTGAGTGAAATTTTATTTTTTTAGGTGCCGAAAAAAATAAAAATAAAAAGAAAAAAAGAAAAAATTTCAAAACTTCACAAAATGGCTTAGAATACCTGTGGCCATCCACTTTAAGCGAAATTTAAATTTTTTTAGGTGCCGAAAAAAATAAAAAATAAAAAACTTCACATAATTGCTTAGAATACCTATGGCCACCTACTTTGAGTGAAATTTAATTTTTTTTAGGTGTCAAAAAAAAATAAAAATAAGCAAAAAGGAAAAATTTTCAAAACTCCACAGAGTGGCTTAGAATACATGTGGCCATCCACTTTGAGTGAAATTTAATTTTCTTTAGGAACCAAAAAAAATAAAAAAAATAAATAAAAAATACCATTTGGGCATCTAAAAAAAATTAAATTTTACTCAAAGTGGGTGACTAGAGGTATTGTAAGTCATTCTGTGAAGTTTTGAAATTTTTAATTTTTTATGTTTTTTTTCACCTAAAAAAATTTAAATTTCACTCAAAGTGGATGGCCACATGTATTCTAAGTCATTCTGTGAAGTTTTGAAATTTTTGATTTTTTGCTTTTTTTTCACCTCCAAAAATTAAAATTTCACTCAAAGTGGGTGGCCACAGTATTCTAAGCCATTCAGTAAAGTTTTGAAATTTTTGAGTTTTTGAATTTTTTTGGGCACCTTAAAAAATTTAAATTTCACTCAAAGTGGGTGGCCACATGTATTCTAAACTATTCTATGAAGTTTTGAAATTTTTGATTTTTTGATTTTTTTTGGGCACCTAAAAAAATTTAAATTTCACTAAAAGTGGGTGGCCACAGGTATTCTAAGCAATTCTGTGAAGTTTTGAAATTTTTGATTACTTGATTTTTTTTGAAAAAATTCAACAAATTTCCTATTTTCCCGAAATCTAAATTTTTTTTATTTTCTCGACATTTTGATGATTTTTTCTGGAATTTTTTAATTTTTTGGGATTTTCTGAATTTTTTTAAAGATTTTTATGAATTTTTCGGATTTTTTATTATTTTTATTCCATTTCTAAAAAAATGGATTTTTGTTCCTGGAAATAGAATTTTCTGTTGTTTATCAAACGGGTTTTTATTTCAGGAAATAGAAATTTTGTGCTGTTATCAAACCGGTTTCTGTTCTAGAAATAGAAATTTTTTGTCATTATCAAACAAGTTTTTTTTCTCAGAAACTCATCCAGGAGCCAGAAATAAAAGAATCTATTTCTGGTTCAGGAACTCATTTCGGAACAGAATGGTTATCATTCACTATCTAAGCCATGCAGGAACAGTTATTCAGACACCAGATTTGACAGTCTTCTGTGTCCCATATGTCGGGTAAATAATCAGAGTGATCAGGCAATTTCACGTGACCGATTTTCAGAAAACCATCTTCTTTCCCAGTTGTACTCATGTTTTTCTGACAATTCAGTTCACTTTCTCGGATGCACCCTGAGGTCCAGTTTCTTTCATTCCACTGGTCGCTTGACTTCAGTTTGAACCCTTCTAAACAACTGCATATAGGCATATCGAACGCCACGCAAACACCGCAAGGACCGCAATTCCCATAAGTATCACAGGAATTTCTTGGCTCCTCCCAATTTGTTACCGAGTTCATCGCCTTTTCATCCCAAAAGTTATGCTCCAGATGTCCTTCTGACGAAATGGATGTGTAAAAGAATGGATAATTCGGGGAGCTTTGTATATAGAGAAAAACCGTTCCGTGTTCTGGATCTTGCTGAAGACTAAAATCAGTCACGTATCTCTGATCCATGTATGGCATTCCAATAAACATCGACTTGTCCCACTGTCCGGTTCTCCAGTAAGGGGTTGATCCTTTCCAAATGAAATACTGAGGCGGCATCTCTGGTGAGATACCGAAACTGAAATTTCCCGGTGCTGGATCAGTGTCGCTTTTCCAAGAGGTTAAATAAGTCTTTACTCCAGTCCTCGAATTTGTTCCCATCTTCATTCCTGGCAAAAGAGTATCACTTGGATTATCAAAGCTTTGCCAGAAGATATTTCCAGAATTTGCGTCCTGCAAGATGAAATTTCCCAAGTCCGACAGAATTGCCGAAGAATCATTAGTTTGACTGGAAGCATTAGCTGACCAAACTAAGTAGTGTCGACCATCAAGAAGCTGCAGATTTCCATCCCCACCTATCCTTGGAGTAGCGAGCTGGTCGTTATATGCAATAGGCTTGTCCCTGTTGGCCACCCAAATAATTTTGGAAGGAGTCATGTTCTTGTACCATATTCCAATATATCGGTTTTCTGAACCATTTGGAGTGAAGAAACCGAGCTCGAAGACTTGACTGGAGGAGACAAGAGTTTGGTTTTGAAAGAGTGGTTGTGATTGAGTAATCTGGTTAACTGCATGACAATGCAGTACACTAAAGAAAAGGAGGAAAATGAAGGAATAAAATGAAATACTCATATGGGAAAGATGAGCTTATGAGTATTCCTAGGACTTTGCCTTCTGTTCGCCTGAACGAAATTGGAGATTCTGTAATGCCTCTAAGAAGTATGTCTGATGTTCAATTTATTATCCTGATTGTTCCTGGTCAGAACTCTTAGGTGTTTAAAATTTTTTATTATTTCGAGTTTCCAAGAAACTCTGACAGGAGCCAAACGCTTCGCTACAAATTTGAACCTTATTTGGATGACTTGGTTGACATTGAATTCCTATTGTCCACTCTAATATGACAAATATAAGTCAGGTTCATGTTGTGAAATGGTCGGGTTTTGAGCCTGAGGACATTATTTAAGAGCAACCCTTTTGTACAGACAGTAGCCTCAATATCAATAAGTACAAAGTAGCAATGATCAGTGGGAATATGTTCCTTGTTTTTACACGGAAAAGTGAGTTTAGGTGTTAATCCGATAGGTGAGTCAACCTGTGTAGACAGAAATAACTGCGAATAGATTAATGAGTTTGTTTAGTTGGATCTACGGACGAAACATGAGCTTAAATTGAACCTTCTCATTGGAGCTAGGACTGGTAGTTTGTCCAATGACCTGTGACTACAAATTGGACAAATCAACCTGCGTACACAGGAAAAGCCAAAAAAAACCAGCATATACAGAAACCGTCTACGAAGGAGCAAAACCATCATTGGTCGGGACTAGCAATTGTCCCTAGATCTGCCATACAAGTACAAACATCCTCCAACATATTTCCTTCACGGTAATTGATTCTGTTCATTATGTCATTTGCAGAACAAGTTTGCCTTCTATGTAAAGTGTAACAGTCTGAATTTTCGATCATTTTCCCGGGATCTATGAAATGAATATTTTGGCCAATGCACTTATAGTGAGATCTCACCCAGAACTGCGCATTCTCGGGATGCTAACCTTAGGGGTAAGGCCAGTATGGGATTGAGTTCGCACGACCAAAGAACTCAACCTTGGTTTGATCTTCGACCATATCGATTGAAGAGGGAATGTTTTGAGCCAACAGAGACCGGTCTATTTGATTGATCGTGTCCGAAGGGAACTAGTGACAGACCTTCGCAATTATATGACAATCGAGGTCGCCTCGGTTCAAGTAAACTTAAACGTGATTTGACTTAGTGTCGGTCACGGGTCGAGAGCGCGTAATCCCAATGAGCCACCCGTTAGCAAGAGATAAGCTAAAGTCGCGATTGTCCGATTTTAGTCATTTCTTGGAATTCGAGCCAGGGAATCGAGAATTTTGAAAGTGACAATTTCGAGCGGCCGATGACGTTTTTGGCTTGGCCAACCTTGGGGCCACCCATTTCTGCAAAAAAATGGATTTCGGTCCGGGACCGGAAAAATGACCATTTTGCCCCTAGGCTATTTTGGGGTATTCCGAATTTTGGGCAATTTTGGGGATTAAATTATGGATTAAATTAATTATTGTTTCAGCCCAATAATGCCAATTTAGTTGGACCAAATTACCCCTAGTTAAGTTGATGTGGATTAATGTGAGCCAAGTATTAAGGGGCAAAGTTGGAATTTTGGAAATTGGGTCAAACTTCCTTGGACCAAATTTATTAGCTTTGTTTCTTACTCATCACTTCACCGGCCACTTCTCCTTCTCCCTCTCTCTCCCGAAATTCTCTCTCTCTCGTTTCCTTGCCGTGATCGTCGCCGCCGGAGGAGCACCGCCGGCCGCCGTTCGCCGCCGCCGCCGCTGCTGGTCCGGTCATTCCAGCTTCTGTCCAGCCCGTTTGTTCCGTCTGTCTAAGGTAAGTGACTTCCTCAAACTCACCTTAGGACCTCGGGTATTGAAGGACGTGTTTAGGGCTCGGTTTAGGTGATTTGTGTGGTTGTTTTGGGACTTGGAGTGAGGCTGGATGTTCGGAAATCGTGGACTGAATTGAGGGGTGGAAATATGAGATTTGGGAGGTTCGGATAGGGCCGTGATGATATGGAACGATTACGGTTTGAATTCGTGAGATTTGGTGTGATTCTCGGATTCGTGACTACTGTACCCATCCGGTTTGCTATTTTTATGGAGAATTTTGGAGACCGAATTTGAGGAAGTTTTCTTCATGAAAGTTTCTCCCAACATCTTGAAGTATAACATATTTTAAATTTGGAATTTTTGGAGACCATTTGGGTCGTACTAAGACCCATTCTCAGGCCGTATCAAAATTTTCCGGAATACTGTTCATCCCGACCTTCTTGTCTTACCGAATTTTTATAAAATTTTCCAGATCTATTTTCAATAAACCTCCTTCACAAAAGTTGTTTGCAACTTTCTTTTCTATAACATATAAAAATTTCAAAGCTTTCCAAGGTGATTTGTGTGTTGAAAGAAATGTATTTTGAGGACAAAACAGTCTGATAGAGCGAACTGATTTTGGTCTGATTTCGAGGGACAAAATGGCATGGTTGCAGATTGAACCGGATTTCGTGTTCTTCATAAGAAATGTTTATTAAGATGTTTTTTTATGATATATACAAAATTTAGAATTTTTGGAGTTTGTTTACTATTTATTTTGATGGGATTTCGGTCACTGTGTAAACTGCCCAGATTTACCCTGATTGATTCTATGGATGTTCATTTTATGAGCGAGAAATTGTGTGTGACTGCGTGCCAAGTATGTGTGGCCGTGTGGCGTGATTGTGTGATGGTAATGTGTGTTGGCATAAGGCATGTGAGGTGTGAGATTGTGTGTGACCGTGTGTTTGTGTGGCGATGTGGTACATGCAGAATGAGTGGAACGAAGGTACTGGAATGTACGATTGGTTGGAAAAGGGTCCGTCCTGAGGCGTGTACGTTTACGCGGGACGATGCCATCCCTGACGAGGTGACGATGCCCGGCCCGACGGGGTGACGATGCCTGACGTGGTCAGAAGACCGTTGGCCTGATGCGTTTTACGCGGGCGCGGTAGGAAGAAAGTGTGTGTAGAATTCCGTCCTGAGGCGTGTACGTTTACGCGAGACGATGCCGTCCCTGACGAGGTGACGATGCCCGGCCCGACAGGGTGACGATGCCTGACGTGGTCAGAAGACCGTTGGCCTGATGCGTTTTACGCGGGCGCGGTAGTGGTGGAAGGGTTGAGAATGAGTGGGATTTGGCAAGACGAGTGAGAATTGCGAAAGTTGATGCGTGGCGTGAGTTCGTGTGCGAGTGTGGTTGGTATCGTGTATCGTAGTACTCGATTATGGGATAAAATCTGCTAGGCATGGTATGGGACGTGCCCAAGTAGGTTTTGCCTTATAATCGGGGCGTACGCGCGACTATAATGTATTGCTGTGGCATGTTGGTTGTATTATTGTCTAATGTGCAGGAAGGCGCATGATGAGCTCTAGGTAGGTTCGTATGTGCTTGTCAGCTTGGCTGATCGTTGTGTGTTATGCATGTTGCGTCTGGCGGTACGTGAGTGCCTACGTGGGGTTTGGGGTTGTACACTTATTGAGATTCGTCTCATAGTTGTATAATCCACAATTTCAGACCCCCAGCCGTAAACCCGGGAAGTCCGCCTCCTCTTTTTGGAAGTCCGGGGAGCTGCCTTGGTGCCCAGTGGAGCTGCAGGTGAGTTTCCGGAGGCTCAAGCCAGAGATTCAGGAGCAGGTTGGAAGAGGACGACTATTAGGTTTTTCCCTAGGGTATTTTAGGGGTTGCGTTGGATAGGTCGACCTATAGTAAAGTTAAGTTAACCAAGCCATCTAAGCCTTTTGTTATGTCGATGATTTCGGATGCTAGTTTGCTACGTACGTTTGTATTATGATGTTTGTATGCTGGATGCTTTGGCTTTGTATGTAAATGAATGTGGCTGTTCTTTGACTGTCGTGTTGAATTACCCCATTGTCGTCTTTTTAGTCAGGGGTTTTGTATTCGTTTCCGCATGTGTTTCTGATGTTTGGGTTGGGTCGGCGATGTTCCTGGGACGTCGCAACTATTCGACCAGAGCAGGGGATGTCGCGAGCTCGTAGGGGTTCGGGGCGTGACATAAAGTACTTTCGGTGCTAAATTTCAACTCATTTTTAGCATTAAGCTTAGGAGACATATTCAATCTTTTTGCAGCTACATATTACAAAACTTATTTTTAACCCCTATATTTCCCCCAAAGAAGAGTGCTCAATCAGTACATGGAACTGCGCTAATCTTCCTCGAAGCACAGAATTAGCGATGATGTTTTTGGACCGACTACTTTGGTGGGGCGACGGAATTTTGGGAGCAAATGAATTTTGGAAGACAAATGACAGTGCTGATTGGTAAAAGCCACCTTACGAGTTCATTTCGTCTCATCGTCAAGCCTCCTTTTCTTTAGAATTTCGGCATTTCGAGCTCCTTTCCACGTCTTGTGATGGCAGATTTCTATTATCTCTTTTCCCAGAAACGGAATGTTGTTCCATGGATGGTAAACGTGCAACGTCGGTAGTAAATTTAATAAACTGATTGTAAGTAAAAAAATTACCGATAGTTTATCAGTCCAAGGTCAATTGTTTGTACGTTACCAAATGAAAGAACAATTTTACCATCCACAGACTCGATAGTAAATTATCACTTGTTTTTAGATTTTACAGGTTAGCGCGTTAACTGTTTATGCGAGTTACTAATGAAACAAAAGTTTTACAATCCACTAAACTTGTCAAAATAGGTCATAAACCCATTTCTTAACTCATATATGACGGGCTGAGTTGTTATATGGGTTAGTTATATTCAGTAAATAGGTCATGAATGAGTTTAAATATAATATGGGTATTAAATAGGTCATAAATGGGTTTATAACTTAGTTAGACCCGACCCATCTCTATGACTCTCTTTTTATTATTCTCTCACCCTCATTCACTCTGCACTCTCAACTCATTTTGGATACAAGTTTTTGTAGATTGGCTTAAATATGTAAATGATTTAGCAATATAGATTGGATTGGATTGTGTATGGGTCGCTATATTTACATTGCATGAAAATAGGTCAAAACGGTTTAAATGGATCTATTTAATTCAGACCATTTCGA